GAAAGGCAGCATGTGAGAGAACGCTACGCCAGATGATGGTCCCTCCACAAGGCCAAGATGCACAGGTAATTATTTTTTTAGACCTTATAGATTTATTGGTTTTATTTATGTGCAGTACCATTCAGAGGTTTGGGGTCAGTAATTTATTTTTATTTTTTTAAAGAAATTAATAGTTGTATTCAGCAAGGATGCATTAAATCAATTAAAAGTGACAGCAAATACATTTATAATGTTACAAAAGATTTCTATTTCACATAAATGCTGTTCTTTTTAACTTTTCAAAGAATCCTGAAAAAATGTAACACGGTTTACACATAAATATTTAAGCGGCATAGCTGTTTTCAACATTGATAATAAGAAATGTTTCTTGAGTAGCAAATTTGCATATTAGAATGATTTCTGAAGGATCATGTGACATGATGTCTTTAGACTGTAGTAATTATGCCGAAAATTCAGCTTTGCCATCACAGGAAAAGATCCAGAGGAGGTTATATGTAGGAGACACATGCAATGGAGGATCAAGAAACAGGAGCAGAGAGCTAGAAAGGCAGCATGTGAGAGAACGCTACGCCAGATGATGGTCCCTCCACAAGGCCAAGATGCACAGGTAATTATTTTTTTAGACCTTATAGATTTATTGGTTTTATTTATGTGCAGTACCATTCAGAGGTTTGGGGTCAGTAATTTATTTTTATTTTTTTAAAGAAATTAATAGTTGTATTCAGCAAGGATGCATTAAATCAATTAAAAGTGACAGCAAATACATTTATAATGTTACAAAAGATTTCTATTTCACATAAATGCTGTTCTTTTTAACTTTTCAAAGAATCCTGAAAAAATGTAACACGGTTTACACATAAATATTTAAGCGGCATAGCTGTTTTCAACATTGATAATAAGAAATGTTTCTTGAGTAGCAAATTTGCATATTAGAATGATTTCTGAAGGATCATGTGACATGATGTCTTTAGACTGTAGTAATTATGCCGAAAATTCAGCTTTGCCATCACAGGAATAAATTACATTTTAAAATATATTAAAATAGAAAACTGTTATTTTATGTTGTAATAATATTTCATAATATTACTGTTTTTATTGGTTTTTTTATTCAAATAAATGATGCCTTGGTGAGCATGAGACTTATTTAAAAAACAAAACAAAAATTTTACTGACCCCAAATTTTTGAAAAGTAATGTAATTGCAGACAGAGAAAAGGCCCCAAATAAAAGCATTATTTCAAAACACTGTCAGCAGTAACATCCTTTTCATTTATAGATTGTTCTAAAACAGACCAAAGTGCAGCACTGCTGTGAGTTTGAGTGGGACTGTGATACCCACGCAGAGCTACCCACTGATCATGCAGTTGTTTACTCGTGTGACAGATCTGTTGAACCAATTTGTGGTTTGCACAGTGCTGTGCAAACTGATCTGCTCTTCACTATCAGTGGCTCATTCATCTAAACGGATCATCATATAGTCATCGCCATGTTGTTTCAAACCTGTATGACTTTCTTTCTTCTACAGAACACAAAAAAATAGATTTTGCAGGATGTTTCAACTGTTTTTGCAAAGTCAATAGGGTCCAAAACAACACTGACCATTGGCTTTCATTATATGAAGAAGAAAAAAAAATCAGACTAGCTTATGTGTTCCACAGAAGAAAGTAAGTCATATATGTTTGGAATTACATGAGGGCGAGTTTATACTGAAAACCAGACATCACAGTATACCAAAACCCTGCAATAATAACACTATATGCTTTATGTCCCCTGGGGGCCCCAGCTATATCTCAGCACCAGAAAGGCACAGACAAATGGGGGTAGGTTCTTTTGAATTGGAGTAGTGTTCACAGGGCCCCATGTGGGGCCCCAGCCATACCTCAGCACCAGAATGTCGCAGAAACATTTTGGAGGCCTCTTTTGACGTGTGGCAGTGTACAGAGGTCCTGTGTGGGGCCCCCGTGCCTCCAGGCATATCTGTGCACCAGCACTACTGTAGAGACATGGAAAACATAGGGAAAAATTTAGGACATCGTGATGGTGGTGCGTTTTAGAATTGATTAGGAGTCAAATAATCAAAGATGTTTTTCTTCTCAATATATTTCTCAAATAAGCATGTAACAGATATGAACATTTATTTTAGCATTAAAGATCAGCAGCCATCTCAAGTAAATTAATATTTTCCTCAAGACTGGGAACTCGCTGTTTCTTTCCCCAGTTTCTCAAATGATTGTATCCCCTCGTAATGGATTTAAGAGTTAAACTAAGTGATTATTGTAGGTTAAAAATGCCATGGCAGAAGTGTCTAAATTTGCTCTGTCCATTTAAGTAGCACTTTTATCATGTTTGAGAATTGTCATCATCTACCCAGCCTCAAGTTGCTCAGAACTTGTCTTTGACTTTGTCTGTGAAAACTAGACCACTAGACCACTTAATCTTGCATTTACATGTACTTACTTACATACTACATAAACTTCTAATCTTTTTTTTTTCTCCTTTGGTCAAATGAGCTACAGCTCTGCTGCCCCCTAGGTGCTGACACTCCAGAATTTGTTGTTGCCATTTTCTGACTACAGTTCATGTACATTATCCTTACTTTTTCTTTCATCTTCCTAGAGTCAGAACTTTACCAGTCTGTGCTCAGCAGTAGTTCAGAGGTAAGTAGTAGTAGTAGAAAAAAATATTGTGACTTCTGTATTTAATAATTTGTGACACCTTATAATTATTATTATTACTGTTATTTTTTAAATGTACACTGCCATTTAAAAGTTTGAGGTCAGTAAAATGTTTTTAAATATTTTTGAAGTATTTTATGCTCAGAAAGGCTGCATTTATTTGATCAAAATACTATAAAAACAGTAATATTGTTTAAAATTTAAAATAACTATTCTAGTTTAATATATTTTCAAATGTAATGGCAAAGCTGAATTTTCAGTAGCCATTACTCTAGTCTTCACAGTCACATGATCCTTCAGAAATCATTTTAATATGCTGAATAAACATTTCTTATCAATGTTGAAAATGGTTGCACTTTTTAATATTTCTGCGTTAACTGATCCTTTTTTTTGTCTTTTCTTGTCATGTCTTTACTGTCACTTTTTTATTTATTTAAATGCATCGCTAAACAAAAGTATTAATTTCTTTAAAAAAAAAAAAAACAACTAAACTTTTAAATGATAGTGTTTGTCTTATTTGAGAACCAAATTAATGTTGAATTCATTTCCAAACAGCATAACATCACAAGACCAACTTGGTTACTTAGCCGAACCATGTCAACCTGCACTCAAAGGTTATTTTTTAATGAATTTTCTAATACACAGTTAGCCCAAACAGTTTAACTGATTATTTGTTTACTGATATTACTAACATCCTCTATTTGAAGAAGAGTCAAGCTTTGCACCAAATCATGCAACGGAGGGACCTTTATCACAGGCTGAGTGGAGAAATGTGTACCTCATGGACTTTGATCTTGACAACCCGTTGTTGGTGTGTATGGTTTGTGGAGAGCAGCAGTACTCCGTGAGTGTGGAAGGGGTGAAAGCTCACATTGAGGAGGTGCATCCTGATACACTATCATTGGGAGACCTTGAACGTCAAGGCATTCTTGATTCCTGGGATAAACAGGTGGCCGTCCGAGAACACTTCATCACCCACCATCTTCAACAGCGATGCAGAGCCTCTACAGGTAACTGGGAAATTGACATTTAGTCTGGTTTAGAAAATAATTCATTTTATGAATCATTTTTCAGAACCAAATTTAAACTACCCAGTCAAAGTGGAGGCCGAAGACTTCCAGACAAGAGGAAACGCTGAAGCTGATCTTACACCATTTCACTCATTCATTTATATAACAAGCTGAGCCAAAGAATGGCTGATATATTTATTCTGAGTCTTGCTTTTGTTAAATATAGGAGTACTAGACTAAATGTATCATTTATTTTCCACTTAAACCTAACTTTAACTCTTTTTTTTTTTCATGCGTTAATGATCTAAGATTGTTTTCTTACATTTTGATCTTGTGTTTTCAGAATTGGATTTTGTACGGATTATGCACTTTTCAAAAAATGCTGTAATAAATTTTCTTTTTGTAATTGTTGCACTGCATAATGCATATATTATTTTGATTATTTTTATTTTGTACTCTGATTAGCCATAATGTTCTTTTTTTTTTTTACTTGAGGATTTGCCTCGAATAGATGATTACATTCTTCTTCAGTTTATATGATACTATACGATCAAATGTAATTCTTATCTACCATAATTTGAACTCAGTTCCTTGTAGTTAATTACTAGCTAACCTGCTAAATTATCTGAGAGTGTGGCGTTAATGTTTGGTTATACACAAAGACCACATTTGAAAAAAATCACAAGGATGAGAATCGTCAGATTATACGGTTTAGCGAACATACCCCCAGTTTCACAAACAAGGCTTAAGCCTAGTCCCAGACTAAAGTGTTAGTCTGAGCTGTTTTAACTAAAAGAAACTTGCACTGACTGATCTTAAAATATATCAGTGCCTTTGTTTTGTCTCAAGATGCACACCAGTAATGTTTTTTCTAAGGCATGTTAATAAAAATTACTTAAATTTCCTAATTGAACAATGGCCTAATCCTGGTTTAGTCTAAACCCTGTCTGTGAAACCGGGCCCTCTTTACAATCTAAGCCAAGGATAAATAAAACATTTAATTCTGATTCCCTCTTAAATCCACAACTGTTTTAGGTAATAAAACCATGTGCACCCTCCGTTTGCTTGTCTGCAACTTAAAATGTTAATTAGCTTAGCATGCCTTTTAGTATTATATGCACCTTTTTATGACTAAGATGTTGCATTGATTGCATAGAGGTTTGGTGAAAATATAGGTCTACTTTTGCTTAGAATAGTGAAACTAAAATTGTTCTGAACACTAAAGAACTACTTAACTAAACTATCTAAAATCTTATCTACTCTTTTAATTATAGTAAAAAAAAAATCCCCACACAAAATCTAAATATTGGAGAAATTTATGTTTTATTGTACTGCCAAATCAGTCAATGGCATGTTTACATATAATGGAACAACTGTACATAATGTAGACAGATCTCAATTCAAAAACAGTGTGTAACTGACAAGACATAAAATCGGTATCTGGTTACTAAATTAAATATAAGGTGCATCATATTAGATTCATGTTTAACTGCCACAGTCCATCTTCATAAAATGCACATACATCGGGATGGCTTTTACAACAGCAAACTCTCACTGTTTTACTCTTTGTGAGTGTAGCGGTTCCTCCTCGATAATTTGATCTGTTTCAACCTCCTGCTCAGGGGTTTGCTGAGCGTCTGATGTGGTTTGCAGTTCTCTAGGTCCAGATTCCAGTCGGAACACTGTGGGAATCTGGCCCAATATGGGACAGGTCTCCTGTAGACCTGAAATCCACTGAGACAGAGTGACCTGGTCTCCCTGACCAGCCATACACATGGCGTAAACCAGCCCCTCTTCCACTGCAGGATCAAATGAACAGACATCATTGTATATATTCGGTAATATGCAAATCATTTTATTCAAACCAAGCTGACAAAGCAATATGAGTCTCACCATCATCCACATCGAAACTGAAATCATCCCCCATGTCTCTTTCCAGGTCGAGTTCCAGTCGCTGAGGGTAGAAGAGAGACTGCTCCGGACCGATCATCTCAGGGTCAAATTCTTCCTCAACCTACAGGAAAATAAGATACGAATACATAATCTTGAATGCAAATTATTAAAGAATGAAGTCTTAATTTTATTAATATGTATTGCTGTATTCTTTGAAGTATTACACTACTAAGTTTGGAATATTTAAGATTTTTAAAATGTTTTTGAAAGATGTCTCTTATGCTCACCAAGGCTGTATTTATTTGATCGAGAATACAGTTAAACAGCAACATTGTGAATAACTTGTCTACTGTAATATAATTTAAAATGCAATTTATTCCTGTGATGGCGAAGCTGAATTTTCAGCAGCCATTACTCCAGGCTTCAGTGTCACATGATCCTTCAGAAATCATTCTAATGTGAGTCTTAAGTAGCACGGGTATATTTGTAGCAATAGCCAAAAATACATTGTATATACAAAATTATAGATTTTTCTTTTATGCCAAAAATTATTAGGATATTAAGTAAAGATCATGTTCCATGAAGATATTTTGTAAATTTCCTACCATAAATATATATTTTTAAAAAATGTTGATTAGTAATATGCATTGTTAAGGACTTCATTTGGGCAACTTTAAAGGCGATTTTCTCAATATTTTGATTTGATTTGCACCCTCAGATTCTGGATATTCAAATAGTTGTATCTCGGCCAAATATAGTCCTATCCTAATAAACCATACATCAACGGAAATCTTATTTATTCAGCTTTCAGATGACGTATACATCTCAATTTCGAAAAACTGACCCTTAAGACTGGTTTTGTGGTCTAGGGTCACATATGTTGATGGGTAGTGTATGTATTAAGCAAATTCATTGAATGCCATCATTGGCCTAATTACTGTACCTTTTCCTCAGACGGTATAGGGTCTGCCTTGAGTAGGTAATAATGAACACAAGTCTTTCTGAGCCATAGTGGGAAAGGGCCTTCGACAAACACAGGCCTGCATGGATTGTGTTTAGCCAGAAGGGAGCGCTGGTTTGGACTTTGAATACCTGATAACATAAAAGATACAATGTTTTGTTTTGTGTGCTTATTCATTTCACCAAACAGTATCGGAAATCTCTTATGTCAAGAAGCATTTAAAAATTCACAAAAACGCGATGTCCAATCACTTTGAATGATGATATAGAAATGTTATGAAATCATTACAATTGGTCCTTAGTACAGTGATCAAACTATGGTTAAATATATATTTCAGGTTAAATACTGTATAAGTTGGATAGTATTTGTAGAGAACGACAAAGCATTTTGTGTTTACAAACTGAGTTGTCAGTTCTTATTTTCTGTTGTACAGATAAGATACAGATGACATACAGTTAACCCATAATATTCCTGAAATTTTAAGTTCAATTATCAGTAATGTCTACATACCTATAATATGGGGGCGCATAACTTCTTCACCAGTCTCTGTGATGTCTGTTGATGGATACTGCAATGCGTGAAATAAAGCACATTTATCAGACTGAAAAGCCTTTAATTCCAAATATTCAATTAAATTTAACAGACACATGCACACATATATATACCTTTAAAAAATCTAACTAATCCCAAACTTTTGAACAGTAGTGGTTCTGCTTGTGTGAAGCTGCTTTAAGTTGTAGATTCAATAGTCACCTGATAGATTGTTATTTTAGCATCCAGGTCATCTGCAATCCGGGTAAGACCGAATCGAGCGAGCTCTACTGGGTCACTAGGGAGCACGTGTGGGATGGGGAAGGGGTTTGCATGCTTGAATTTGGGAAACCAGTACATGATACGCTGGTACTTCCTCATAGGATGACTCTTTTCCCCAAATATCTGAGCCAGTAAAACCTTAGTCTGTACATTCGGCATGATACCTGGCAAAATTAAGAAGGCAAAGAAATGGCAAATCATTAAAGCAATGCATCAGTTGTTCTTTCTCTCCTACAAAAACACAAACACACACCATAGTTCTCCATCTGCTCCAGCAGCTGTACTCCACACTCTTGCTGCCGTGGGTAGTGGTTGAACATCCTCTGAATGAAGTTCCGTGGCATGAGCACCTCTTTTGGAAACACATCCAGGAGTTTGTTGTAAACAGTAATGTCTCGTTCTACTCCAAATTCTGGCATCTTCTTCAGGGCAGCATAAATAAACTCCACATGGCCTCGTCGCCGAATGTCCTTCTTGCTGAAAACATCCATGACCCTGTTAAAATCAGCCTTGGTCTTTGAGTCTCTAGCAGCTCGCTCAAATAAATCATCATGTGTGACTAAACCTTTATCTTTATTAAGCGTCTCATCTTTAACTGTCTTCTCAAGCTGTGTCTGGCTTGGACGACTCATGGAACATACTGCACTGCAGTGGAATGGTCTCGGAAGCTTAAAAAATTGGACAGAAAAACACAGTGCATTAATGCAGGCACTATCAGTCTATAAAGCAGCATTATTCAGAGGCAAGCAGGTACCTGGCCATAGTTGTGCTGTGATCCAGGGGTTTGCAGATGTGCTCCAGTAGGTAGGATCACTCGCTGTATGGGTGTCCCCAAAAAACGTGCAATGCACCCAATGCACTGAATCCGTAACAGCTGACGAGGGGCGTTCATGATTATGACATCACAAACCACAGCAGATGAATTACAAATGTATTGAAATGAGCCTAGAAAGTAAACTACAGTCAAAACATCATTACTATCAGAGAGTATTACTGCACTTTTCATGTAAAAATTGATGCAATTGTTTTTACATATATGAATATGTTTGCAATGAATATCTATCTATCCATCCATCCATCTAGTAATAAGTAGCTATATAATGCAATAATAATCACACTTATTACATCTGTCTGTCTGCCTATCTATCTATCTGGAGCAATTAGTAGTTATAAAAAATACAATAATAATTGCATTATTGTTACATCTATCTATCTATCTATCTATCTGTCTGTCTGTCTATCTATCTCTCTCAGTCTGTCTGTCTGTCTATCTATCTCTCTCAGTCTGTCTGTCTGTCTGTCTGTCTGTCTGTCTATCTCTCTCAGTCTGTCTGTCTGTCTGTCTATCAGTCTGTCTGTCTGTCTGTCTGTCTATCTCTGTCTGTCTATCTCTGTCTGTCTGTCTGTCTATCTATCTATCTCTCTCTGTCTGTCTGTCTATCTGTCTATCTATCTCTCTCAGTCTGTCTGTCTGTCTGTCTGTCTATCTATCTATCTATCTCGCTCAGTCTGTCTGTCTATCTACCTATCTGTCTGTCTGTCTATCTCTCTCAGTCTGTCTGTCTATCTATCTGTCTGTCTGTCTGTCTGTCTGTCTATCTTCCTATCTGTCTATCTATCTATCTATCTATCTATCTAAGTCTGTCTGTCTGTCTGTCTATCTATCTACCTATCTGTCTGTTTGTCTGTCTATCTCTCTCAGTCTGTGTCTATCTATCTATCTATCTGTCTCTCAGTCTGTCTGTCTGTCTATCTTCCTATCTGTCTGTCTATCTATCTATCTATCTTTCTATCTAAGTCTGTCTGTCTATCTATCTACCTATCTACCTATCTGTCTATCTATCTGTCTGTCTGTCTGTCTGTCTGTCTATCTATCTATCTATCTATCTGTCTGTCTATCTCTCTCTCTCTGTCTCTGTCTATCTATCTGTCCTTCCTATCTGTCTGTCTATCTATCTATCTATCTTTCTATCTAAGTCTGTCTGTCTATCTATCTACCTATCTACCTATCTGTCTATCTATCTGTCTGTCTGTCTGTCTGTCTGTCTATCTTCCTATCTGTCTGTCTATCTATCTATCTATCTTTCTATCTAAGTCTGTCTGTCTATCTATCTACCTATCTACCTATCTGTCTATCTATCTGTCTGTCTGTCTGTCTGTCTGTCTATCTTCCTATCTGTCTGTCTATCTATCTATCTATCTTTCTATCTAAGTCTGTCTGTCTATCTATCTACCTATCTACCTATCTGTCTATCTATCTGTCTGTCTGTCTGTCTGTCTGTCTATCTATCTATCTATCTCTCTCAGTCTGTCTGTCTGTCTGTCTATCTTCCTATCTGTCTGTCTATCTATCTATCTATCTATCTATCTAAGTCTGTCTGTCTGTCTGTCTATCTATCTACCTATCTGTCTGTTTGTCTGTCTATCTCTCTCTGTCTCTGTCTATCTATCTATCTATCTGTCTGTCTGTCTGTCTGTCTGTCTGTCTGTCTGTCTGTCTATCTATCTATCTGTCTATCTGTCTGTCTATCTCTCTCTCTCAGTCTGTGTCTATCTATCTATCTATCTATCTATCTCAGTCAGTCAGTCAGTCAGTCAGTCAGTCAGTCAGTCAGTCAGTCTGTCTGTCTGTCTGTCTGTCTGTCTGTCTGTCTGTC